CTGTGATTTCTTCTACCGGACGAATTATGTGTGGAAGGGTCATGGATCCCGGGCGGCGACTTCTGGGCATGTCATCGTCCAGTGCATCCAAGGCCTTCCTTTTCCTCACGAGCATGTACTTATCATCTTCCTCTTCTTCCTCCTCCTCAGTGGGGACAGCACTCAGAGACCCCAGGACCCGAGACCTGGACCTGGCAGGCGGCCGGCTCTGCGCTCTGGGTTCCCCCTGACAGCCATGCGTGGGAACGTGCGCCTCCGGGGAGCCTTCGACAGTGATCGGGGGCCCGGGACAGATGGTCTTCCAGAGAATGAGCCAGGAAAACTTTCTAATTCTGACGTGAGTTTTGCAAGCATGGCTTTGTTTTGCTTTGTATTTAAGGCCCTTTTTTCCAGAAAGTTCATGCTGCTCTCGTCTTCTGAATCGGAGTTGGAAACGCTGTCAGAATCCTCTGGAGGCCTGGGGCGCTGGCTGTTTGTTGGTGTCGCCCTGGAAACTTCATGGCCACCTGAGAGGGCCGGAGGGTCTGCCCTGGCTGCCTGCAGTCTTGTGTTTGCAAAATTATCAGAAGCAAAGCTGTCACAACTGTCATCAGAGGATGACGATGTTTCCATGGAAATCAACTTTATATATCTGAATTTCTTTACGTTCTTCACTCTGAGATCCTTTTACCTCCATGCTGGCGGTAGGCGCACGGGCGGCGCTGCTGGGACAGGGAACGGCCAAGGAGCCGCCACATGAACTAATTCTTACTAAACTTTGAAAGTCTGTATCATTTCTATCTTTCATTTGTTTTGCTTTTAAAATAATAAAAATAGTAAATGGTATTGAAATGGAGAAAGCCAAAATATACATTTTATAGAATTTTAAAATTTGATGGAGGTAAAACTTCAAACATTTTCTAGCTCTTGGCTCTCCCCTGAATTTTTTAGTGAGTGCCATGAGACTTTATCATGGTTTTTGAGCAATTCAGTAGAGAACTGTGCAATCTTTTTCACATATTTTATCTTGTTTCATTTCTGTATGTTCTGATGTTAAAAGATAGAACTTAGTGAGGTTGGGGATTTAGCTCAGCGGCGTAAGCACCTGCCTCGCAAGCAGGCGTTTGTGAGTTCGATCCCCGGTACCGGTAAAAAAAAAATAATAAAAAAAAAAAGATAGAACTCAGTATGTTCTAAGTAGTTTCACTCTTAAGATGCTGTTAGTTAAGGTAGTTTTTCTTCAGGATCCTATATCTATAAAACTTCTACGAACTTTCAGAGTGCTAAAGATTTCTCTAAAACCAAAACCTTTGGAGCTATCTTGTTTTTTACATATTTAATAATTTCCCACATATTTAATAATTTTCCATTTCTTCAGGGTGAAGTAAAGTCCAATAGACTCACATTTCCTCTTTGCATACCGCAAAGTTTCATTTATATCTTAAGCACATCATTTGTAATATTTTGTGTTTAATAGTAAAACATCTCTATGTATGTTTCTCATCCTCTCTTTCTCTCTGAATGTTTGTGTGTATGTAAGAACTTATGTTTTAGATTAGGCACATAAGCAGCCTAAATTATTTTTCTCTAAGGCTTATTTATTGCTTTAATTTGGCTAGGAAATGTCCCCCAAAACACATGTTGAATGCTTAGGCTAGGCCTATGATTTTATTGGTAGTTAGTGGAATACTTAAGAGGTTCAGTCTTATGAAAGGAAGTCAGGAGCCGGAGGTAGGATCCTAAATGGAGTATTCAGGTCTAGATCTCCCTATTCATCTTGGTTTTCTTCCTGCCTGCAATGAAGTGAATTTCTTCTTCCTGCCATGGTCCTGCCATGATGCACTACCTCTCCACAGCCCCACAAGCAGTGGATCACTTAACTGAATAAATATCTTTAAAACTGAGATTGAAAAAGAAAACTTTTCTGCTTTTAAGATGATCATCTCAAGGATTTTGTAACAGTTATGCAAAAGCTCTTCAGTCAGTCATCATATTAACTTTTGTTTCTTTAGATTTAACTATAGCTTTGTAGTGCATTTCAAAATCAGGTAGTGTGATTCCTCTGACACATTCTTTTAGCAGTATCGCTTTCATATTTCATGTCTTTTATTGATCTATCTGAAATTTAGGATTGTTTTTCCCAGCTTTGTGAATTTGATAGTTGTAGACATCCTTCTTGTCAGAGTGATAATTTTCTGCAATCTGTTTGTGAGTATCTTGATAAGGAGTTTTGCATCTATGCTAATTCAGAAGAATGGCCTGTAATTCTCTCTTTTTTTTTTTTTTTTTTGGAAATTTGTCTTTCAAAACTGAGATGCTTCCATGATAAAAGAACATATGAAATTCATGGCCACCAACCCAACAGTCCAAAATGTTCTGAAAGATAACAATGCTAATTCCAATAATCCCAACAAAATGAATCCACCAGGCAAGACAAGCAAATACACAAAAGGGAAAGAAAGAGACCCAACAACAAGAAAATATGATAAGGATATATCAATAAATATTTATAATCAACATTGGTGAATGGTCTAAATTCACCAATCAAAAGAAACAGATTGGCAGAATTGATCAAGAAACAAGATCCAACTATGTGCTGCATATAAGAAGCATTTCACTCAATTATATAAAATGGACATGAAAAATAAGACAAGTGGTACAATATACAATTGTAATTGTAATACAATTATACTGAATAACTTGATTGCCTCATCATCACAAAAAACAGATCAACTAAATAATAAATCAATGAAGCAATATCAGAGCTGTACCAAATCTTTGAGCAAATGAACTTAGTAGGTATCTACAGAGTGTCCCAGTCAAAAATGCACATTTCTAATATCAGTACCCAGGACTTTCACCAAAATAGACCACATATTATCTCATAGAACATGACAATAAGGAATTGAAATTGTACCATGCATATTACTGAACCATAGTGCAGTGAAGCTGAATAGCATCAGCAAAAGGAAACCACTACATAAAGGATGAAAATGCATAACATGCTACTGTCTAACCATTGAGTTACGGATAAAATAAAAGAAGAAATTAGACATTTTCTACCATTGAGCTGTAATATCAATGCAACATATGGGTAACAATGAAAGCATTCATATTAGGGAAATTTATGGCAGTGAATACTCACATTAGGAAAACACTGAGCTTAAATAATGTTCAACCTCCAGTTTTTAGAAAACAAAAACCAAAACAAGTTATACCCAAAATGTACAAGGAAGGAAATTTTAAGCTGATATTTTATGCCACTTTTATTGTTTTCTGATTTTTGTCTAATTTGAATTTATCTTAGATTGACTAATCTTTGCATCATCTAAGAGATGTTGTATTCATTTTGCTTGTTCAGTGATTATATCTAGATTTCTTAAAAAGAACTCTAATACCTAATTCACATTGGACATTTCAACTGACCGTACTTTTTACAGAATTTCTAATCCTCTAAATTTTTACGTGGAGTACTCATATGGACTGTAATACCTTTTTATGATTGTCACACATGTTTTGTATCACTTTGTTTATCTGTTGTAGCTTTTTATGAATGTCTTTTACAGCTTCATTTATTATTTGGACCAATATCTTTTTAGTTAGGCCCTCTTTGTGCTTGCAAAATGCCTTGTTGATGCTTTGTTATCTTTGCTGATATTATTTTGAATAGTTCACACATGTGACATTAGCTTTCTCCCATTTTATGCCCCATTGATTAGCTTTGCAGTAGTTGGGAGTATTTGGAGACATTTTATTGGCTGTTTATTTCATGTTTATATATTTTGTTGATGTGGCTGCTATTGTTTCTTTGTTTTTTATGTGTTCAGGCTTGTGGGTTGATTGAAATAGAAAGCTTTGTTTTTAGTATGGAGATATTAGTTAATGTCTATTTTTCTGTGATACCCTCTGGGCATGGCTAACAATTGGTCTTTTGCACTGCCCCAAGTATCCAACCACCTCTGTTGATTTGAGAGATGGGATGTTGCAGTGTACTTAAGCAGTACAGTTTTCCAGGAATTGGCCATAATATTATTAATGACTACAAGGCAATTCATATAGTTGGTATTCCATTATAATAGTAACAGATGTGTCATCTTAATTATAGTAATGAAACAACATCAATTATAGCATCAAAAACAAATTGAATAGTCACAAAGTATAAGTACTAATAGAGCACCAATCTTAGCCATAGAAAAGAGAAATTTATAATAGTACAAATACTAATACAAAGCAAATGTTGACTTACTATCAACCATCAGTATGTATCATTTAAATGAAACAACATTACCTCTACTAACAATAAAGTGGCATTCAACAGAAAGAGCATAAAATTAACTATCTATCTAGAGATTTAAAAGCTCTACTATACTAGTAAAGATATAGAAGATAGAGAGCCAGGCAATGAAAAAAACAAATGATTTTGAAAAAGCAATCAATGGTATACGAGAAGAGAATATTGAGATGGCATCATTTTAAGAACTAAGTAGGAAATTAATAGTGATAGGAAACTGTCACAGGAAAAATGAACAAGACAAAGAAAAATGGTAAACAGAAAACAAAAACATTAAGATGAAAGTGAGAAGGCAGAGAAAAAATTGGAAAGGGAAAAATGACATATAGTGAAAAGAAACTTAAAAAGGGTGAAATGGCAAACTGGAAAAACACTTGATGATGGAAAGATTTTTTTTTTTTTTTTTTTTTTTTTGTGGTTTTCGTTTTTATCGGTACCAGGAATCAAACTCACAACTGCCTGCTTACAAGGTAGGCGCTTACGCCGCTGAGCTAAATCCCCAGCCCCTGATGATGGAAAGATTTAACTGATACAGGGGCTGGGGATTTAGCTCAGCGGCATAAGCGCCTGCCTTGCAAGCAGGCAGTCGTGAGTTCGATCCCCGGTACTGATAAAAAGGAAAAAGACAACAACAACAAAAAAAACTACTATATCAACTATCTGCATCATAGACCCATTTGTCCATTCTTCTCAGTCTGCGTTTGCCATCTCAACAAAGATATCCACGTACCTCTTAGCAGATGAGGAATGTGATCATTCTCTGTTCTCTACTGATGATAGACCACAGTTTGGGTTTTCAAATGAGCTGCTAGACTTATTATCTACAGTCGTGGCTTCTAGTTTCTCTCTTTCCCTGGGCAGAGATAAGTAAGCAGATATAAATAAATAAATAAATAAATAAATAAATAAATAAATAAATTTATTTTAAAATATATACAAATAGATATGAAAATAAAAACGTTTGACAATTTTAGTATCCGTTTCTGTTTAAAATATTATCAATGTAGTAATAGAAGGGAAACTTCTCAACTTAAAAAAAGGATATATAAAAATCCACAGGTAATATTTACTCCATATAGAAAGATTTTTTTAAATGCTAGAAAGATCAGAAATGATAAAAGGCTGCCAACTCTTCAAAATGTTATTGCTTTTGAGGCTTTAGTCATTGTAATAACACAATGAAAATAAACACAATGAAAGAGAAATAAAATGCATACAGATTTAAAAATAAAAACAAAATTGCTTTTATTTTTAGAAAAAATTCATTGGTCTTAACTTTTAGAGGACATCAGCATCCATTAGAAAATGTCAAGAAAACTGATAAAGATTCATATAAAACTATACATAAAACAGGATTTTAATAAACATTAATGATACTAGATTGAAATTCAAATTTCTCTCAAGATAAATCACTATAAAACAATATAACACTGAAAAACAAAACCAAATAAATTTCTACATTAAATTTCAAATAAATTTCTACATTAAAAATAATTGAAAACATGAAATTATTTGGAAAGTCTAAATATAATTAACTAAAATATGAAATTCTTTGGAATAAGTCTGATAAAAGATATACAAATATTAATACCTTCAAAACTAGCTGACAAAATTTGAGGAAGATTTAAATGAATATAAAGATATACCTTGTGTGAGTGTTATGATATTCACTATTGTTGAGAAGTTACTTTTTCTCAATTTTTAATAAATTCAACATGTTATAGATCATAATTTGTTCATATAGCTTTGAAGCTAGCTCAAAAATTAGAAATGGAATGAAAAAGCTTCATCTATCCAAAATTAATATTTTAAAAAGTACAATTTGGATGATTAAATATATAAATATATAAACATAATTATAAGTTACAATGTATTCAAAATATATAACAATCATGACAATGTATTACTGCATGAAGATATACATGTTGATCAGTGGGATGGCTTAGATGTTCCAGAAATAAATGCTAATGTTCATAACCAATTGAATTCCCCAGTGTTATAAGGAAACAAATCATATACTTTAAAATTATTTTGGTGAAAAAGAGGCTAAGAGTTTGTATAAAACAATTTGAATTCATATCTTACAACTCATATAAAAATTAAATTAATATGGATCAGATTTCTAAGCATAAATATTGATAGAATTGTGGCGCGGCTGAAAAGATAAGAAGTATGAAATATAAATGACCTTTATTTTAAGAATGCGGGGAGAGACCCCGACCCACCGGGCTCCGGCATAGTCCCCAGGGTCTGGCAACCTCTCCCGGGGTTGGCGATCTCTCCCTGGGACACGTGGAGTGGGGGCATACATGTAGCTTAGGTTTGGGTGGGGCCTGAGGGGCATTAGTGATGCGCAGGTATCTCATTGGTATTCATTTCACGCCACAGGTAAATTCCTAGGGGCGGGGAAGATGGAGCCCCTTGGTTCTGCCTTCTAAGGCTTTACCAGCTACAGTGTCCAGCCTAGGACAAGATTCTTTCAAGTATAATGGTCCACATCTTTAAAAAGATATCATGGGAACACCTGTGAATTTTGAGTTTGATAAGGATTTCTATAATAATTAAAATAATGAAATGATCAGACAAATATCCGAAGAAAATGTCTAATTTCCTACAAGAAATACTTCAATTATTAATAATATGAAATGACTCTCAATTCAGGCATGTTGGTGCATGGCTGTAATCCCAGCACAGGGAAGGCCTAGGCTATACAGTGAGTTCAAGAAAAAAACAGTAATTCTTAAAATGCAATAATAATAAAATATTAATAAAAAATTTTTTGCAAACTATTGGAACACATACTTCAGCATAAAATATATGGACACATCAGTTCTCATCCTTGTTCTGCATTTGTAAAATCTATATTATTTCTACAGTTATACATATCACTCATCTGGCTAACATTTTAGAGAATTCATGTTGCCAGTTATTAGGAAAAGTGTAAAAGAATTGGAATTCTTATAAGTTATTGATGGAAGAATAAACTATACATGACCTTAGAAAAGAGACTGATAGTTCTAAAGAGTAAAATTCACACCTATCTTATAATCTGCCTATCCCACTCTGATATTTACTCTACATAAATGTAAAGCCCTACTTGTAAAAATAATTATGTGCAAATTTTCAAAAGAGCATCTTTCAGTATTAACCAAAGACTGGGGGAAAAAGAGAAGTTCAAAATAGGATTAATAGAAAAGCAAATTGTTGCGTTTCTGTGCAGTACACTAACATTAAAAATAAAAGTAAATTTAAATTTCTATACATACAACAGGAATGAATCTAAAACAATTATACAGAACCAAGCAATTACATTTACTGAAAATTCTAGCAGATAGAAATAAGTACTGCAAATACTGGAAAAATCAGAGTAACTGTCATGTGTGAACCCTAGGCTAGAGGAGGTAGTAGATAAAAAAAAAAAAAAGAAAGCTAAACATGACATGATTCCAAGAACAGTAAGATGTCTCTATTCAAATATCTTGATTTTGAAGATGATTATATATATATATATATATATATCCAATTTATACATTGAAATATAAGCATTCCATTGTAAAAAATTATTTAAACAAATGCCTTGATGTGATTGTTAAATTTCCAAAATATACTGTCAAACATGAAGTTTGCTCCTCAGGGAAGTAAAATAGACAGTGAATTTAAATATTGAGGGTATCAAATATTTATATGGTATTTATTTATTTTTGGTACAGAGAATTGAACTCGTGACCCTGAGCTTACCAGGTTTTGCTGCTGAACTATATCCCTGGCCCCATATATATTTAAAATAAAGAAAATTGATAAGATGTAGACATAGAAAGGAAAACAATTCAAAAACCAGTTCTTGGAAATCTCTGGTATTTAGAGTTTTAGAACCAAATGAAGCAAAAAAAAAAAAAATTAACTGTAAAAGTCTCCAACAAAGACAAGGGAAATTCAAGAGTATGTCTGAAAGGTCAATTTACAGATATTTTAATTGTAAAGATATGATCATTTACGTCAATTACCCTAAAACTAATTTATAAAGTAAAATGAAGACACTGGATCACTGAAATAGCAATAATGAGACATCACAGGTAAAAAGTCAGTATAAAACTATAACGAAGAGCACTGTGTTGACTAGACCACGTTCAAAAGGAAAAAAGTGGAGTAATAAAGGAGAAAATGTAATGATAGAAGAAGTTAAGGAGAATGTGATTTTTTTGATGATTCTTTTGCTGTAAGTGCAAAGAAATAGCAATGTTATTGCTACTACTAAGGACAATACAGCCAAGAGGATAAAAGATATTCAAGGGAGAAAACAAATAATGAAATGACATTCCTGAGAGAATAGTGATGAAACTTTATTAAAACAATGAATACAATTCATTCACAATATTTGGAGAAAAAACAGAACATGATATCCATGGAGTTTGGTGGACAGATGGAAGCAGGAGCTTGTGGAATTCTTTTCAGATATATTTTCTCACTGAAACATGAAACTCAATCACATAAAAAAGTTTTTAGTTTGATTAAAAAGAAGAAAAGTAACTGTAGCTAAGAAAGATTGTAAGTTATAGGCTATGCAGATACAAGGAAAACTAAAGTTCAATTAGCAGTGTAGAATAAAAGTAAGTCTGATTTATGTGTAATTGAAAATATATATATTTATCATGTACAATAAGGTGACTGGAAATACATATACAAAGTACATTGTAAAATGAAGGTAATTAGTATACGTACTTTTTCACAAATTATCACTTTTAATGAGTAACATGAAATCTGTTCTCACTGATTTTCAAGAACACATTATATTGATAGTAATTGCTACTACTATTATTAACAATTCTTACACAGTACAGCTCTTATTTCATCTTATTGAATAGTAAATCTGTTGAATGTATTCCTTCTATTTAATTGAAATTTTGCATCCTTTAAGCATTTCTCAAGCCCTGACTTAGCTCACCCCTAGCTGTCATCATTACGTGTTGGAGACCACTATGAAGCGGCTCTGAGCAGGATTTAAATTTTACTAATTGGCTATGTTTATCTCTGAGTGTGTCTTAGCCTCAATCCCTTACCTGGTAAAGGGAGCTGATTCATAGTAAGTGAACCTCTATGAATCCCTGGTCCTGGCTGAGGCCTGTAGTTGCCTGTGAGGCCAGAGATACCTCAAAGGGCAAGACAAGGCCACAGCAGAGGACACCTTGGCTCCAGCACTAATTAAGTAAATAGAGGCTGCAGCTGAAGGAATTGCACTCCTGCAGTCTGCATCCTGCCATAAGTGTCATCCTGTAGATAAGATGATTCTCCTAAACTGGCATAGTTTACTGTTTGGAGAAGTCTTTGAAATGACTCCTATGGTCAAATGGTCCTTCCCATTTCCCACACTTTCCTCAGTTTCCCTGCCCTTTGTTGCTGGACTTAAACAAAGAGAAGTCTTTGTTTCGGCTCTCAGTCTTGAGCTCAGCTGAAGGGTTTTGACCCTCATGCAGCCCTAAAATCATACCCCTTGTCTCATTTTATTTAAACCTTGACCTTACACTCATTTAGGAGATTGGGGATCTAGGTGAGGACCTGATAATTATCCTCTGTACTTGTATGAGTTCAGCCATCTATATAAATGGATTTATGTAGTATTTGTCATTTTGTTTTGGGTTTATTTTATTTAATGTCCTCGAGGTTCATATATCTTGTCACAAATGATAGGACTGCATTTTTTCCAAGATTGAACAGCATTGCATAATTTTTGCATGTCACATTTTCTTTATTTACTTGTGGAAATTTAAACTGATATTATATCTTGGTTATTGTGAATAATGCTGTGGTAGACATAAGAGTGTAAGTGTCTTTTTTGACATGCTGATTATCTTTTGG